ACGATAAAGATTTCGTGTTCTACTTACTGCACTATTCATGCAGTCGATAACTAGACAACATCTTGTTATAAATAGCATTCTTGTGACAGGTATTACATGTGATAAACTACGAAATGACGACGGATTGTTGGGTTTTTACAAATATCTTGGGGAATCATAGATTAAGTTTTTCTTGTATAATGTATTTGCATTTTAATAACACCATATTCACAAGCAGATATTGCCACCAAATGACCGATTTTGTCACAGAAAATACAGAAGCAATAAACATGAATGATGATTCAACACGTGACCCATCGAGATAAAATTTAGATAACTTGGCAGAAATTACTGTATGAATTTTCGGCATAAGAATTTCATTCATGGTCACATGTCAAAGGATATGAACAAAAGAGAGAACATCAACGCTGATGAAGTAATGTAAGAATAAATAAACCAAATATAAAAGTATAGAGTACACATCATTAAGCCAGCGTCTGTGCATACTTTTCACGTAGTCTATGTTACAGCTATTATGACCTTCATGTGCATTTGGACAATAAATGTTTATCTTCAGAGATCCTCGAGACCAAAATATAAAGTCTCAATAAAAAATAATGCACGCAATAGTTACTGAATTTACTGCTGTATTTAAAAAAACGAAATTAATAAACGCATTAAACATTTTTAATTTATGTGAAGTATTTAATCGTTTATACAAGAAATGTGTTTGTTGGCAAAGTCCATTAAAAGGAGACAAATATACCAAAGAGATAAAACCCAAAAAATATGAGTTGATAAAACCGATAACACCGTGTTATTAACAGAGGAAAAGATAAGACAAATGTCTACAAAACATAGACATAGAAAAATAAAGATTGAACAACATGAACTTAACCAACAGGTGATGATGACCTCAGGTGGAAGGAGCGAGCAGATCTTGTTCCTCATGTTCCATCCGTCGTGTGTTCATGGCAAGTACAAATTCGGTTATGATTAATTGGTCACACTAGAGGAAATCATGTCTGAATTGTGGCTACAGCAACTGAAACACATCCGTGGTTAACGTTGTGTATGTTTTTCGATGTGAGGCACAATAGTTAAAAGAGTCTAAACATAATAAGATCGTCTACGGTAAACTGTGCAAAATAACATTTGTAACCTGACTTATAAAACAATTCATAACTTTATAAACTCGAAACATAAAAACGAGTTGGACGATGGCAATCATTAAAAATATCAATCTTTGTTGTCCCTCCGTGTAAAGATTTATCTTGATTTCGATTTACTGTTTCCCTAACATAATTTTTCGGTATCTTTAACCTGTAATGCACATTAAATAAAAAATATACAAATATAAAAAGGTAACGACTGAGCATCTCAAACCTAATGGAAACTGGGATTGAACGCTGGTCATCCTTAAAGGTATATAATTCCTGCTACAGTAGTGACATCTATTATGTTACTCATTGGATGTAAAATTACGATGATAGGTTGCATTGATAACATCAAAATCAAGTAAAAGAGGATTGATTATGGTCAAGACAAGTGGAATCTATCAGTGGTTATCTACGACACAGATAATTTGTAAATGTCAATCAAATGATGACGTCGCCCGTTAAAGTTTTGGAGGAAAAACTTCAACTTTACCATTATGACACTAGTAACAATAGCTGTCTTGTAAGCATTAGCGCTCTATCAAGGATTTTATTATAGTAAAAGCAAGCCCATAAATATCATGCTTTTTTATTGTACATTGTAGCATAACGAATGACAAAGTTTACACATTTTAAAGATGAACAGATTTATATTTTAGCTAGTTTACATATTCGTAACATCCGTTTTTTAATGTAAGTTCAAGTATTTTAGATAGAACTAATGTTACTAATTCAGATGCACATTTCAGCAATTAATGTCTCTTCGGGGTTGCCCGAGTCCATAATATCAAATTCAAAACCGATTAGAAATAGAGAAGACCCAATTTAATCAAAAAGGACAATACGTATTGCCAAATATGGAAACGGGATTAGAGCCATGAATATGGAGGAAACATTGCCTTTACATGAATTATCATTGATATTGTCATATTTATAAATTCAACTGGTTTTTTTTTCGTACAGTCCAATGTCGGCTTATTTGAATCGAATCGACACACATAGTACTTAGAGCTGTCGACAGGTTGGTATACAAATCGTCTCAATAAAAGTTGTGAATACCTTCACCATGTTCAACAGGCACAATCAAAATCTGTCATTAACACTTAAGTTTTAAAATAACAAAAAAATACTGAGATTTAACATAACACAAATAATGTAGAAATTCCCGCCTTGAGATAAAGGCAATAGTAGTATACCACTGCTCAATAGTACTAAATCGATTAAGTGAAAACAAATCTGGGTCACAAAACAAAACCAAGGGAAACACATCAACTATAAGAGGAAAACAACAGAACGACAGAAACACTGAACAGGCACAATAGAAAGTGCTTGAATGATATAAGTTTTACCACGAGTACACTGTCAGAATAACTTTAACTGTATAAAACATGTTACTGTAGGTGATAAGTTTGGGGTAGTTATTAGGCCCTTTTGTGTTACAAATGTCTAGACATTATTGATTTAAACAGTTAACTTAGAGAATTAACCCTGAACATAATAGTCATTCATATCGGCCAAGGTATTTGTAATTTATTTCCTTAAGAAAGAAATTATAGATGTTATTTATCCTTCGGAGCACCTGCGACAACCAACGGAATTTGAAGGTGTCCGTGTTACTCGATCTTAGGTTTTCTAAGTAGTGTTTTGTAGAATTTTCATTAGTTAACCTATTTTGATTTAAAGAGCTTTTAAAAGACCGAATTATAAATTTTTAAGGCATGTTCAGTTTTCGACTTATTTCTTGCAGTAAATGTATTACTTATCAGAACATTTGCTTGTTATCAATAAAGTATTATAGATACAATGGATAAGCGTCGATTCATGAAAAATCCCCAATGAGCCCCAATGGCAAATGTTTTGTTTTTCATGAATCAACGCTTATCCATTTTGTCTGTAACTTAAAAGTAAGTTCTTGTTGCTCAGTCTTCAATTTTCTATGTTTTGTTTTGTGTACTATTATTTGTCTGTTTGTCTTTTGTTTTTTAGCCATGGGGTTGTCAGTTTATGTTCGACTTATTAATTTGAATGTCCTTTTGGTATCTTTCCCCTCTCTTTTAAAAAATTGTGATGGTGTTTTTTCACAACGAAATACTTTTCTTAAGTAGAAGGTATTGCAAGTGAGTTTAAATAACCCTGTTATCATTTTCAACGATGAATTGATAAATAAAGCTCACAATTAATTGGTTAGATAAATACAAATATAACATAATACGTCTGTCTTTGAATTATTATGCATCTCAATATTATCCGTAATTTACAAAATAAGACATGTTCAAACTTATTTCTAAGTATATATAATAAGAATGTTAGCGAAATTTCTAGCAAGAAACCTTATTAAAGGCACATCATGATTTACTCGCATGGGGATTTGCGAGAAAAAAACACATTTGTAATGATAGTAAAACGGATGAAATCATACTACATTTATAAAACAAAAATGGACAAATTAAATGTAATACTTTTCTTTTCATATACCTGAAATAGCAATAATAATCTTATAATAAACGGGAAAACCCGCTTTTATTACAAATAAATCCACAGTAACATAAAAAATAAGAAAAACGGAAAAACTAACAAAAAGGGATGACAAAGAGAAAACTAGGATTCGAACCTTAACCGACAAGTCTTTACCTCTAACTTATTGATATTAACCGCGCGGCTACCAATTTTTATTATACGATTTTCTTTTATGAACATATAAAGTTAAAAGCCCTCTGTGCCCGTTGTACCGATATGTACCATATGTTCATTTATATATATAAAATAGATATTTAAATTGCAACCCATTTGTAGCCGAGAGGTTGCTACAATGTGTTGATATTAGTCACAAATAAAGGGATGTCATTGAGGTAGTGTATATGTACCAGAATTAAAGTTACATATAGCACTCCGTAACAGTACGCGTTACATCACAAAAAAGACATTCTTTAGATTCGCAAGGAAGCAATTCAAACTTGTAAAGTCACTGGCTGCAACTGAATTTTAATCGCTTTATCAATACCACCGATATGGTTAATAATTGTTTTCTGTGTAGCTGCACGTAATAAGTAAACTAACAATAGCCATAAAATGGTGTTAGTTGTTTTATACTTCGGACATTATTCCTTGGTGTTAAAGCAGCCGAAAGGGAATTATCTAAAGAGTTACACCTTAACAACTCGCAGGGAAAATAAAAAAGAACAATGTGTCGAAGGTAGATAATCTACGCAAAGGCAAAAGAAATATATCCGAGGACATCACCAACAACTACACAGACTGATGTGGAAGGGTTATCAGTTCATCCGTATTGAAATAATGCTTAAATATGATTAGGATTTTTCGGCAACAAGGCTTCACATCATTGTATGATGACTCTTGTCTTACCTTTAGACCTTAACCAAAATCGCCAAACATCCAGACTAATGGCTAAACATAAAGGAAGACAGTATGATAATGTTTGAAAAGATTTAGAAATTAGTTTAAATGGTAAAGACCTACACCGATTAAACATAGACAGACAAGACACATAACAATAAAGTATTGAGAAATACAACACTGAACTCAAAAGCAACAGAAACTTAATGTAGAATCTAAAATTAGACTCAAGTAATCCAGAATGGGAAACAGCCAAGGCTTCATGTTGGAGACCGTACTTTGACCTATAATGGTTTACTTTTATAAATTTTGACTCGGATGGAGAGTTGTCTCATTGGCACTCATACCACATCTTCTTATATCTATTTGATCCACTTTTGTCATTGGAAAGAACATGTATGTTGATAAGTGGCATTTGGTGAGGTCACACACGAGGAAACAGAAACACATTGTATATATGAGAAATAGAAATTTTCCGTTGTCATCTATTTATTCGATTGAGAATATTTTTGAACGAATTAATGAATATAAGAACAAAATAATATTATCAGGTTTTCTGGGGTGTAGCTAAGGTCCAAATATAGTTAACAAGCCTGACCTTATACGCTATAGTTTGTTGTATCGATTTGCATACATGAATCTGAAACGTCATATTCTGAATAAGCTTTCAATTTTGAAAAAGAATGATCGTACGTATTATCCATATCTACTCTAGTAGAACTTGTAGCAGTGTCATAGGTGGGATCATTACAGTTTCGAACTCCTGCATTGCTATCGTAGGTATTTTCACCAGCTTTTGGTTTTCGTTCACCAAAGTTATGTAAATGATCATACTCTCCATTTGAACTCTCTGTATAAGTATCCTCCGTACGTTTTCCCTTCTGCACATGTGTATATAAATCGTTTGTTTTGTTGTTTTTCTCAGGAACTTGATTTACCAAACCATAACTTTCATGGACTTGCTGTTGCGTCTGTACTCCAAGATTGGTTTTGTCATCACGCACTGATTTCGTAAAAACTATTGTTGCCATATTCGCTGAATTATTACTTTTAAAAATTCCAATTAGTCTACAAAACAATATTTAATCCGTGTAATTTGAAACACAACAAACATTCAAACAAAGAGCGTGACATAGAACATTTTTTAACTTATCTTACTTGCATATGTTTTCAATTTAAGATTTCTATTAGCAATTATAGATTGCCAGACCGAACAAAATCGAATATGTACCAACTATGTCAATTTAAGGATATCAATTGCTTCCCTTCATGATCTAAGAATCTTTCTCGTATATATACATTTGTTTAATTTTTAAGTAAAAAATATGAGGATAAGCCCCTTTTTACCTCAGGTGAACCCTCAAAGTGTCAGGTGCATATCAGTTAGATACTAAGTCATAGAAATTATTAAACTTCTGTTTATTTCATTGCATAGATTTGTATCAGAAATTGCTTTCACTTTGAGGTTAACCTTGTATCTATTTGTATTTATATCGTATAGATTTTACCTCACTTTGCACAGAATAACAGTAACACCTATCAGTAAAACAATGACAACTCCGACAGATCCACCTACAATGGCCCCTGGATCAAAAATAGTAAAAAAAAAGTACAGAAACACATAATTCTGATTTAATTGCGAAATACACTTTTTATTTCAATGCTACATTTAAGGAACTATTTGGAAATGGTAAATGCAAATTATTATTTAATAAAAATCGTCTGTTAGCATGAAAGAGAACTACAGAAAAAAACAAATTGTGAAAGAGAATATATATTTCAGATCAAACAGAGCCTTTGTTTATGAATCATATTAGAGTTACAACAAATATTTGGTAGCCTTTTTAAATGTAATAATGGGCAAATCGAGAATTATTGGAAGTTTGAAACATTCATACATCTTTAAAGAACTGAAGAAAAAAAAAACAAAAAAAGGAGTCAGGCCAAACTTTAAATCAAAGCTTTAATTCAAAAATGAATTAGACAACTTAAAACTACAAATTTTATTTAAATGGTTCTATTTTTTACCCCTACATAACAAAACTGCAATGCAGAGAAATAACATTTAGGCGGAGAATTCGATAAAAATCCACTGAAAAAACAGATAAAATTACAATTAAAAATCAATTGTTTTTTTGTAATTTTGAGGTCTTTCTGCATTTTCATAACTTATTTTTTGGGGTCGTTGGTTTTGTTAGATGTACAAAACAACCAAACAACTTACTTTAGATGCATATCAATTGGTTGGTTGGTTTGTTTTGATAGTTAATAGGTGTGTATGTGTCTTGGTGTCTTGTTCGAATGAAGGGTTGATTTATTGATCAAAATTTTGCATACTGGCATATTATCAGGTTTCACAAGTTTCACATTCAATAATCGATGATTGGTTTTGTTAATAGAATTGATTGATTGCGTTATCGATTGATTGATTGATTAATTATTGATTCTTTCATTTATTAGTTGAATTATTTCTTTGATGCTACCTTGCTGGATTGAATGTATGTAAGACGTCAAATTGCACATATTTAACACATATTGTACCTAAAGAAACAGATTAACACATCCCCTCCCTTCTCACCAAACTAGACACGCAGTAGTGGGGGCAGTTTTTTTTTACTTAATGCATAGAATATGATATCTAGGAACAAGCGAAGAAGAAAGAGGGAGGGCTTATGTCTCGTTTCTGCTCCTTGCAACAAGTTTATCTTGTATTTAAAATAATGTTGTGTCTTGCTTGAAACGTGCAAGGCTTGAAACACCCTACCCTATAATAGCATCATTGAATCCTCCTTTACAAGTTTTCCTTTTTTGTCTATGAAACCAAGGAATTTATGTTTTATTGATTTGTTGTGTATGCAGTTGGTTTAATTTGGTCCTTTATTTTGCTCTAATTACTTTACTTGAACTTGATTTTGTTTAATTATATTTCAGGGCTTGCGCAATTCTCGTCACAAGGTTTAACTATACTGGCGAACACTTAGTTTATTTATTCCTTTCCAAGTTAGGACTTTGAACAGACCACATGTGTATCGACAGACTAACGCGCTAACTATTGATTTTTTTTAATTTCAGTTAATTGACGTTTGATCAAAGAATACGAGCAATGTTTAATAGATATTTAATCTGGTGGAATTAAACAACACTTTTATCGATTATTTTTTTTAAAATGTATATATTTCAATAGGTGTTACGGTAGCATATGGATCGAACTTTTTTCCAGTTACGACAAGTCGCGACTTACAATTTGGTAACTTTTTCGTCGATTTCTATAACTGTCAAAATTTAAACATGGCCTTGAGCTCTGACCTGGATCATTTTTTATATAGGGATCAATGATTTTAAATCAAAAGACCCTAGGTCTCGTTAACTGTCTTTGAATGAGTAGTATCAACACATCAATTATGCCGAGCACAAAAACGGAATTTTTATAACATGTTGCCAAATCTCCTTAGTTCGAATTTAGTAGATCATGTTGAGGAAGTAACTAGTATTTTAGGGAAACATGATATACAATATCTTTTACAGTTCCTGAGAAGTTGCGATGACAAGAAAATTGTACACGGGGATATATCTTTCAAGTTGAAAAGTGAGTTTGAAAAGCACAATAACTTAAAGATTGCCAATTCGACAACTCAGTAATTGCCAAACTATATGTTCATGTTCTGTCTTTAACAATGAGGCGAAATGAAATCAGGATAACTGGACGAATAAGCAGTAAATATCAATGTTTGACATAACACAACAAATTATCACTTTAGAATGCTATTGATATTTATTTAAAGTCTTTACATCTTCTATCAATTTAGAAATTGCAAAATCATATGTGAAGATCTAAATTATAATTCGTTAAACAGACAGTTTCAGGAAGTCGACAGATTCGTTTGAATGAATGATAACAATCTCCATTGACAAGCAAGAAACAACTATTTAAAAATGTGTTAAACGGGGAAGGGCGCCTAAATATGCAAATAGAGAAAACATATAACAAGACATTTACCGTAATTTGCATCTGTTGCTACTTCCATGTGGTATGTGTTTTCAACTGTAGAGGTATCTAAAGGAAATAAAGAATGTATAAACTTACTTGACAATACACTTTATATATAGGTTATCTGACGTATCTATCCTCTCATTACAAAAATGAAAATAAAATAATAGCACAAAAAATGTTAAAAGTAAGTGGAAATAATAAGATAAAACACAAAAACACATCATTTCTTTATTCTGTAATGAAAATAGAAAAACAAAAATCAAAGGATATGGGGTATACAACCATGACACAAAATCAATACATGCACAGTAATAAATACACAAAGAGGAGAAGCACAGCGCTGTAATTTCTGTTCTTCATCTCATAATCACAGTGAAGCTTTCTACACGGAGCAAAAACATCTCACATCACGGCAAGTTTATCTACAAATGAATAAAATTCCTCTCTAGATTGTTTTAACCTTTTTATCAAAGATCTAGACTTATTTGAGTTCTGCTATTTTAAAATCCAACATGGCAACGACACCAGTTCTACATTCTATACGAATATGCATTTCTTTTAAAACTATTGCTTCAGACATATATATTTAAAAATTAAAAAACAGATCGAAGATTAATGTTAGTTTGTACTTATTTTTCCATAGCTTTGAAATGCTGTTCAAATACACATCCCTGGCCATGGCTTTGTGTCATCAATGCTCTTCATCTTTAAGCCTGGCATCAAAGACTACGTTCCTTCGTCTAATCTCTGTGCCTGATAGCACTGATATTAACTGATAGCACAAGACCTATTTCTGACTTGAACGCAGTTTGACTGTTATTATATTTAATTTGTCTTATCCTCAATAAAATCCCATTAACTGTCCGCTTATCAACAAATTTACAGAGAAACCTTCATGTCTTAAAATCTCAATCCGCTCAAGTATGGTAAATTAGTTGTCTCGGTAATATGTGTCCGTTTTGGTGAAATTATTTCAAGAACACCAAGCACATTAATTTATGCGGTTTTCGTTATCCGAGTTTTCAAATATTTGAGCGTTTTTCAAATGGAGTATTGACTCTATACCTCCTCCAAACCCAGAAATGGATATTACTTTTGCCTCTTAAGGTTTTACCTCTAGTGGCCTCGCTACACCCTCAACCTAAACGAGCGCTGAACCCCTTCATCGAAAAGTATGTGTGCGTCCATACTCGCTTGAGCTTTCGAAGACATTGTGGCTTTTGAGATTTGAGTAGAACTTATGAATCTGTAGAACAGTCATTACTGATGCGGTTTTAGCTACACTTTGCTGATCTGATGAGGTAGATTTGTTATCATAAGAATCATAATTCGAAGTACCCGAATACGAAAACTGATTCTTACTTACGGGACAAATACTGGTATGGCGTTTTTGTCCGCACTGTTTATACGCCCAATACTCGGTGGTTGCTAAGACAATTAAAACACGATTTATTTCTTCTGCTTAAGAATTTCAAGGCGGGTTGTTTGATCAATTACTTTTGTGCATGTATGTTTGTTTAGAATAATAAGTATAAGTAATGCACAATACGATTCCTGACTCTGACCTATTGATCCTAGTCCTCAATGAGCATTTCTGACTTGTCATAAAATCTGCGGCATGAATGTACTGTGTTGTCCTCATGCACCTGTGTATGTTTTTCTCTATTTTTTCCCAAATCGCTGACCATTTGATGCATCTATAGCTTTACTGTATTTCAAATGTGTATGTGCAAATCCCGAAACGTAGTCAAAGCCTCGTTTTTAAGCAGTGATTTGAAGTAGTTGGACGTCTGTTTTTTTAGGTATTGCTATGAATAGCTGTGTTGTACGATTCCAATAATTGCCAGTTAATAACATGCAACAGTAGTATACCTCTGTTCAAAAGCGTAAATGTTGCCTTCTAATTTCGAAAGTTATAACTTGGGCAACTTGTGAAGATATTAAATGCTGTTATACGAGCGTACATATGCTGCGGATTAAATGATGCTGTTTGGTTTTTATTGAATAAAAACTCTCCACTTAAGGGTTAAATTAACTGTTTGTTAATGGGAGTAAAACGCAAGTACGTATGGTTTTGTTTTTGTTTAGACATTTTTGTCGGCTGATAAATACCTTTTCCAAAATAGCCAAAATCATCTCTGTCAATTTGTCGTGAGATTGCACATTTTTAGTTCTCAGCAAAAAGCTTTGTTAGAGCACAACTGTGTCTCGAACGTGTTTCTTTAAATTTTGTAGACATTTTCCAGCAGTCACGACATCATTATATTGTAAAGAAAACGAAACAAAAGTTGTATTACGGTAGTCACATTGAGGTAATGAGTAACTCCTAACTATCCCTATCAACGTCCACATAACGTCTCCTTAAAGTTCGTGTGTTTCTCAACAGCACCTGTCGTGTTGATCATTTTAGTACAATCCCTGAGATAAGTCTAATTCGGTAGGTTACATTTGGGGAACGACGATTGGAACATATCTGTATATATGTAATGTGAATTTTTGATTTTTTAGGTTGTGTATTATGGACGTTTTATCTGGTTCTTTTAATATGCCTCAGCAAATAGAAAAAGGCATCTGCATATAACAAAAAAAAAAGAATCATCAAGTAAATTTATATAGAAGGATATAACAACATATTTACCATTTTTGCAAACAAACCATTCTAGTTTTATAGAGCATTTCTGCCAATGTATATCTAACATCTTTTCCCCTTTATTATCAGAAATGTTTGCAGATTGGCAAAATTTAGGTACAGATGTCGTGTCAACTACAATGAAAAAATACATTTCATTTATACATATCATTTTAAGTTAAAAGGAGAATGGTGATGTGCAAGCAAGACAAATATATATTCCTTGAAAATATGTACACAAAAAAACACACAATTAATTTTTAACCAATCTAATATCATGATATACTTGTAGCATACATTTTAACATTTGATTTAATAACTTGTTAGTTAATGAGAAAGCAGTTCACAGGAACATATATCATCCTATTTAGACAAATATTCTGCGTATTTTGCAAAAAAGTATCAAATACCAATTATCAAGTCTGTATAATGACTGGTCTTGCCGCCAACCGAACCCGGAAAAGCGCCAAGGCGGCCATTACAATATATCTAGACTACTAACTACTTATGAGATAAACTTAAGAAGGTACACATCCAGTAAGGTTAAAAATTAGATTATAATAATGGAAGGCAAAGACATATGCAACAACAAAAACAATTTGATGTAAGACGTAAACGTAGAACAAGCAAACCACATCAAGTTAGCTGATTTGTTGTTTTGCCAACAAAAGGCAGGATATTTGTCCAAAGTCTCCAATGGACAAAGCAGATCACGAAATTATTCGGTTATTGTCACAAATACTTAAAAATGAGAAATCCCGTGGGAATATAGTTATTTGTTTTGGCGCCATGTCATGTAAATAGCAGTCACTTTACGACGATCTTAATCAGATGACTGCATTATCATACATTTCAGTTTAGATTGGACATATATACCTAATGTTCGTTCCACTTCTATTTCTTCTCTGAACACATTTGTCCAAGCAGGTGAGGTTAGATTTTCTGCAAATTGTTGACAGGCATTAGAATGCAATAATAGCTTGTCCTTAGTCCAACAGTTTTCAAAAGTTTTATTCTGTTGGAGACCCCAGAATTTCGAAGTTGACTGCATTCCATCTTCTGAATTCAAATAATGTAAAAATTGGAATTTTATTTAAGAATGAATATACAAGTTCACAAACAGAAATATTCGAATTAGGTTCAGTAAAAAAGTCATCTATATTAATATAACATTTAAAAAAACTCAAGTACTAAAATTATTTGTTCTATATATAGTCCATCTATATGATAGTAATTCAATATTCTTAATTTATATTATTTAAGTCTAAAAACCGGTTAAAACACCGAATAATAAATTTGACCTTAACCATATACCATATCTTTCCTTTGTGTTACCTTTTGGAATCTATTATGTTAGCCTTCCATACATTAGTATATATCTTCGAGGTTATACTCGACATGTTAGTTACAAAAACACTTTGTTCGTGCAATAATCATGTCATTGAATACATCTTTTTCTTCAAAATTTTTTTTTTTTCTTTACGAAACAATGTTTTTAACAAACACTTAGCAAAGAATGCGTCTAAAATGTGTGTTCAACACTTTAAATAATTATGTAGCAACCTTAATATGCATGTTGAGTATAACATTTTTAAATTTCGACCGGGAAACGTTGATGTAGGAAACAATTGTGATCTTATTGACAAATCCGAACTGATCAAATGCAATAAAAGTGCACGATGTGGACTTCCATGGAAACGGAGTTTTTTTTTTTAGTTTCTATCATGATGAGCTTCTTCTTCAAACTATGATGTAGCTGTGACCTTTTCATTGCAATGCAAGTATCTTAGTAATCAGTTTTTGAATATCATCTCTTTTGTGTCATTCAAACGATGAAATTGACAATTCGAATACTGTTCACATCAATACAAACATACAAAGAACAGTCAAAACTATTTATTAGGTTCTTGGAACTTTAGTTATATCAGAAACAGAACACCAAGTATGTCAGAGACAATGTCATTATATACTATCAACTATTGAAATGTTAAACTGAACATTTATGATACATACGTCTTTGTCACGACACTTGTTTGAAAAGAATTCAAATTATGTACTAGTAATATCATTGATAACCTTAAAACGTAAAATCAGTAATATTGATACAATGATGGTAATAAATTGATATTGAATACTGTTATTTGAGTACACAGAATTCCTTAGTAATCGTAAGATATGAGAGGGATACACATAAAACTTACCACATACACCTTTAATCGAGTTATCGCCTTTACAGCTGGTTGCTTTTACATGTACAACATTGGGAGGAGTGCATGTCAATGTCGTACAAAGTCCATTATTGGTTCCAGATCTTATTGTTGTACCATTATAAACTAAATAGAAATATTGAAATACACAGTATTACACGTTAAATAAAACATTTTAACTTTACGGAAGAATCATACAGAATTATTTAGGATAATACAATGATGTATGATGCAAGCATTTTTACTTTTTAACATAAGCAAACACCGTTGTCATCTTTGTTTTTGATTTCGCAAAGCAATACAGTAATCAATTTATTCAGAGTGATTGAGATGATTGAAGATCTAGACGGACATTGAGTTGAAATCAAAAAGACGACATATGATACTCAGTATTACAGAAGAAACAAATACTAACTTCCCAGAATACTTTTTCTTACACGTGTGTAAGATTCAATTTTGAAGAATACTGACGGCCTTGAAAACAGGATCCATATGATGGTTGAATGATAACTTACTAGATGTAAACACTGGTTTTGTTTATTTTACTTTTGAAAAATAAGCCAGCAGTAAAGGTTACTTACCCTGATATACTAATGCTGCTTTAGTAGGTTTTTGTAGGCACGAAGAAAGGTTTGTAGCATTGGTGAATTGTACGTCGTTGTTGTTTAAGCAGGAACATGCACTGTCTTCTTTCTAAGAGGTAAATCAAAAATGTGAATTTACATTCAATAACGCAGAATGATTTACATTCTTATATCTGCATGAGTAAAGCTTGTATCTATAAGCCATGAGAAAATTATTGAAGACAGTCTGCTTCTTTGCCTAGCTCCCGATTGATAACATTCAGACTATTAAAAATACCAAAATTATTTAACCACAGTTAAGAATAATCTTTTCAAATTGTCTCCTTTTGCGTGATTGATTTAACCTTGAGACTGTTTTGATTGAAACGTCACAGATAAGCTTAAGTCAAGCACGAATTGAATACTCAAGGATAAGTCTGGTATATACATGTATGATGACTTTTAACACCCATTAGATTAATGCAATTGCTTCTGAACGTTTACGTGGTAACACAAATATCACTGATTTCTGTAAATATACTGTTCATCGAATGACAAAATTGAAATCAAATAACAACAACAAATAATTGTATGCCTTGTGTCCTTTTCATTTCATTTGTGGTGTCATGTTTTTGACATATGGTTTTGAAGTCCCTAAGGACCGGTGGTTGCTATTTTTTTTGTAATACATTTTGCTGACAAAAAATCTGAGCTTGCAATTACTCCCAAACAATTAGTCGCTTGATTTCGCTCCCATAATCGCCTTATACATATTTTCAAAACACAATTTACTTAATTAATTATATTAAATGATGAACAGATAATTTTACCAGATGATACAAACATATTGATTTATGATATTTACATTATAACTGAAATATCCATTTGTTGAACATTCTCGTTGACACAATCCGACTGATGTCACGATTTTTTTAGTACTTGGGTCCTTGGTCAACGGAAAACAACCTAAAATATTAATGGTAAAAGTTCCCTTGTTATTTGACTAATTTGTTTGTCGTAATCCATTTCAAATTTTATAATAAAAATCATCACATACATTTGGTTGCAGAGTTTGAATGTACTTTATATCGGGTGATTAATACACTTAATACTTACAATGTATGTGTCAGATTATAAGTACGTATATAATGTATTCATAACAATATGTGCGTACCACAAATGAGTACATAATGTGCACCCCTACTGACTGAATTTATTTGTACTCAAATGCCTTCCCCAAGACTAAACAGCAAATTTTCAAGTTCTTCAACTTCATTTTTGGATGTATTGATGATGTCCTGTTACTCAATAACCCATATTTCATAGAGTAATTGCATCTAGGATATAGTAACAAATTTGACATTCATTATATCAATTAAATTAAAAGCTTATTTGTTGATCTTTTTCTTGATATTGACACTAATGGAGGACTTTACACTAGGATATATCATGTAGACGTGATGATATCAGTTTCCCCATTGTCAATTTCCTATTTCTCAAAAGTATCAAAAGTCTGATCTATCGTATACCGTTTATCATGTCATTTATTATATAACATGTGTCATCATATTGAATCAAAGAAAAGTTGAAATTAATAACACAAAAATTAGTCAATGGATACTAAGAATTCAACTTTATAATTTACTTATATAGGACAATGGAGATTAAAAATTACACCATTGTAATCCCTTTTATTTTCCACAAAATAATAATTCCAATACTTAATAAGTTCCGGATATCATCCGACACCGATACCAATATTATGTGTCACATGTAGTTTCCGGTTTTAGTATAGTAAGAGAACTAGGATGGGTTTAAATGGAAAGATTTTGAAGGCAGAGAAAAATGTGGACATTATAATCAGCCCGACTTTATCATAAGACAATACGAATACTAAACATGGACCTGCAGGTGTATTCTAGTTGAATGTAGTATTCATTCTTTGAAAATACATGACGAATAAAAGTAGTCCTGAATGATTATATATGAAAATAAGAAGATGTGATATGATTGCCAACTATCCACAAGAGACCAAATGACACAGAAATTAACAACTATAGATCACCGTACTGCTGTCGACAATGAGCAAAGCACATACAGCATAAATAGCCATAAAATGCCTCGAAATGACATATGTAAAACAATTGAAACGACAAAACTAACGGCCCAATTTATGCACAAAATAATGAACGAAAAACAAACATGCTACACAGCAACAAAGGACAACCACCGAATCACAGCTTCCTGACTTAGAACAGCCACATACACAATATGGCGGGGTTAAACTCGTTTGAAGGCGCCAACCCTCCAATTAACCCCGGACAGTCGTGTACCAGTACAACATAAGAACAAACTATAAAAATAAGTTGAAAAATGCTTAATTTATCAGATGGATACAAATATAAATACATCTAAGAAAAACACAGAGTGGACGTGGACGGGTACAGCCACACAACATAAAGACACTAAGAACAGATCCGAGGGTAATCGCAGTTACTAACAGCTAGTTGAAAGCCAATAAAATTAAAGGAAAGAAAGCATGCATCTCAGACTATATAAATATTTTTAAGAGTTCATCAACATTCTGTGTTGAGGAATGTTTATTTTCAGGTATAAAGAAATCATTAAAACCACACTTCGTCTACACAGAAAACAGCATTGTTTTTGTAAATGGTGAGTATCATCATCAATGTCTGTTGATGAATGCATGTACGCTGAAAAGGTTCTGTTAAACTCCCTTATTGTTATTCATGTTAAAAGTGTCATTGGGTGATAATTGTTTAATTGTTTTGACGGCTGACTATGGATGAGTGGCATATTTCGCTTAAGGACAATAAAATTGACTTGAATATGTTGTAGTATCGTGTCGTGTGGAAATGAGGTTAGAAGTTGGGAGTTATTTACCATATTAATTATGAAATGATATTGGTTATGAAGCCAGCGTAACATATTACGTCCATACACAAGGAATTCAAAATTGTTTTTTTTTATTATCAGCATTTTAGATAAATTGTGACACTATCAAACGATTATGACAATTAAGTTTTAAAACGGTAATGTGAATATGTTTTTAAAATAGCGAATTTTTAAATTTTAGAATAGTTTTTAATATTACGAATGAGTTGATATCAGTAGGAGATGGAATTCGTTTAACGTTTAGAAAAAGTAATGCGATTTGATTGCCAATGAAAAACCTAACAACTACATCAATACAAAGGACATAAAATACAGTACCAAAGCAGCAGCTGAAAGCTACTTTGAAGTCAAATACAATTTATCAATACATGTTAGTAAACCCCTAACGAAATAATCGTTCATTACATATCCAACATTTTTTTTAATGTAAAAACGACCGACATAACACAAAAAAAGCATACCCTTCTGCAATGCTACATAGAAGTAAAATGAATGCTGGCCAAATTGGTAAATTATGTTTTAATATAGCAAAATCAAAATACATGTTAATACTAAAAATAAAAAGAAAAGAAAAAATTAGATCGTTATCCATTAATTAACTGATAACGAAAAATATCATTGATTAATTTAGATAATCCTCAACTGTCTTCCGGATACCACTGGATAATAAAACTATTCTTCATATGTTTCATCAAAACAATTTAAGTAGACTATTGTCATTTTGATTCGTCAAAAGTATCAACACGAATATACATATAAAGCAGTCCAAACAGCAAATATATCAGGCTTACCATGTCTTAATACTTTGAATTTGTAATTAAAAAAGTCATTACGGTAGCTTACCCAGAGTTTCTATCCAACGAGTAAACTGTATAAATTTACCAAGCCCTGTCCAAAATTCATGGCCATGCAATTGTGACATCCTCGTCAAAACTAAAGGATCATTTTCTAGACCAGATGCGCCACACTTATCATTTGCATCTATCGCTGTTACTCCATCTGGATATCTTTGCAGCTCAAGTGCATAACATACTTTTTTACGAAATTGAATGATAAAGTTCAAATTAAAACATGTTTAAATAACTTATGGTATAGAACCACTAATTCAGGCCCGGTCGGAAAGAACATACAAGAAAGTAGTACATATTCTAAACAAATTAGTTCCTACGCATAGCTGTATCTTTGTCAATAGGTGAAATATTTGGATAGTTGTGGTATTAGATGATCGCTTGTGGACTTGGGATCGCTGTAGAACCCTTGTTGAAAGTTTCTTTTGAATAACAAAGAAGTATATGAAATTATAATAGGAGGGCACATTTGCCTTGTTGTTCAGATCAGAAGTACCGGTTTTTGTACTATCAAACTTCCTGGAACCAGTACGCTCTAATATGCAATTAAAGGTATGTTGAATTTTTCATCACAAGTCAGGATAAGGTATAGTTTTGACATGACATGACTGCCATTTTATTTGAACTTAAGACAAAGTAGCCATTAATGCATGAAATTGCAGAATTTAACATAGAAATCAATGGGGCTATGAATTAGTGGTTTTATACCTTATAGACTATTATAGTTATATCTTTTAGCACATAAGCCTACAGGAATGTGCACATGAACAAGTACATATCACAAGATGTTTTGTTTGGGTAGGATATACTCGTGTGAAACTATCTTAGAACAGACATAATTATGAAAATATGGAAGTGTAGGTTGTCTTGCTCAAGCTCTTGTTTAAAATATTTGTTCTTAAAATATTGAAAGGCAAGTTTAAAACGAAAAGTAGAAGTGTTACACTTAACCTTCTTACAAAAGAATGACATATGATTCGGGATATACGTTTATAAGAAAGCAACTCAACAATCAACAACAAACATCAATGAGAATTACAAACCACCGTCACAATAAACCATAGGTCAGGAAAAATTAACTTAACCAATTATATACAAGTTAAGTTAAGTAACCATAACCATAACATCAATACCTATACCGTATTTGAAGATTAAGTTTTTCTAAGATAAGTTTTAGCCAAACATGTGTTTTGCAACAAAAAATAATCCCTTAACATGATAATATCACAATTGGAGGAAAAAGCTGTTACTGAAAACAGTATATAATTGCAAAAGGCAATACAAAAGGAAGTTGTCGTGTTCTTGTCATTTAGAAAACTGTAATAAAAACAATAAACGACAAAACTATATAAAATAACAGTTAACAAAAAGCCCATCAGCAATAAGTAAAACAAAAATATGTGGTAGGCTATAAAGGCACCGGTATAACAAAATGTTAAATATTTCAGACGAAAAAAAAAACAATTGCTTGATTTATGCTATAACAATCAAGAAAAACTAGACAGCAATCGACTATAACAACATTGATTTTACCAGGCAAGTACGCAATGTGAAGGATCTTTAAATTTTTGTGAGCCCTCAATCCTTCACCAACACCACCCCAGGAAGTTCAGTATCAGCATAACATATAAACAAAGTGTAAAAATGAATAACTGAATAAAATCGTCAAAGATACCATTATCATTTGGTACGCCAGTCGCGCGGTTTGTTTTCAAAAGGCTCATCAGTAGTGCTCAAATTAAATATTTGAAAGGCTTAATCAAATACAAAGATAAATAGCGTTGAAAACGAACATCCCCAAGAAGTGGTGTCAAATACAACTATGGCAATGTATGCCTATGAGTAGTATACCCTTAGTATTTCGAATAACTCTACATTTAAGTAAACAGTAAACTTAAACAAGACGTATTAATAATATATCTTGTCAGCAGTTCAAAAGCCTTCTAACAAAAACTTCATGCCCTCACTATACTAGTGTTTCAGTCGGTGCACCTTCACGGTGCCAAAATATATGTGTCGACAGTATGTTAGACCATACTAAGTGTTAAGTATGAAGGAATAAATATCAATGTGAGTCAATCTTAATTAAAAAAAACAATCAATTTTTATTCCACTACAGATCCACTACAGATAATATCAAAGACATAAGAACAGTTCAACTTAAAATCATACGAACACAATTTATATATTGCATTTTTATTAACGACCTATAATAACATCACCGTACATATTAGACTGGGATATCCCATTTGTTAAAAGATATAAACATTCACTGTCAAGCGGAAGCTACCCAAAGAAGGACGGTCTAGTCAAGTAATCATAATGCATGCTCTTTGGCTAGGATTAAAGAAAAAAATATAGTTGTTACTCAATGTTAGCGTCAAATTATTCTACTAGCAATAGATAAAATATCTTTGATTCAGTTCACTTACTACATATGCAGGTTATTATTGAGTTATCAAATAATGAAATCTTACTCATATAAAAATTTTCTACCGCCAGATATGACATTACAAGGTTAAAGAGTTTTAAATTTGCCTTTATGGGGAATTCATCTGTAACAAGCCACAACAATTAATTCTTAAATATGAAAAAAAAGTTTTTTTTTTATTGCAAATGATTCACACATAGTTTTCCAAGTGGGTAATATATTTGTTTATATTAACGAAACAACGTAGATAAAACACGTCCTTATAATATCTTGTACAAGATAATGTATTTGTACTAGTTTTTCCGCTAGACGCTTATCTATATTTAAAAAGGACAAAGAAATATAATTGTTCATTTCTAATTTTCAACAAACCTTACCTTTTATATGCATTAGCCAAAGATTAATAAATATCCATGAACTTTTTAATCTCAATATCATTTTTGATTGTCAGTGTATGTGAAAGTTACAACAATCAGGAAGTTAAAAATGTTATCGTTCAAGTTTTTTTTGTAGTTACGTGTGTATTTGTTGTTGGATATTATCTTCAGTAAAAAGTGTTAACACTTCCTGAGATACATGTGATTAGATGACGATTATATTTGTTTACTCGAGCGTTTTTCATCAATATAACTTTAAACTTTTTATTTGTAAGTTTATTATATTTGATTATTAGACGTGCATGACTTTCATAACCAGCAATTTACCTGGTCTATTTATGTAATCGCAGAGATAAAAGGTGCCTTGTCATGTAATTATCCTGAAGGTTTGCTAGACTATTGTGTTCAGTTTAAGTGAAAATATGCCCTTAAACGAAAATATAGGTCTATGTGAAAATAAAAATAGATATAGATAAATGAATAACAGTAGTTTGTTACACAATATATCTAGCACTGATCGTACAAGTGTCTTTTTTTATCTCTGCGATTACATAAATAGACTATTACATGTATAAATGAATTTATAATCTTCAATTAACTGATTCATTTGAGGGAATACAGGTTAAGAAGATACAAAGGTGGCAATCCAAAACCATAAGTCCAAAAAAAATAAACACAAACATGGCAAAACATGAAGTACGAGCAAACATTTGATTTCATTTTGAAGTTTTTCTAGTAAATAGTAAAATGATTCATAGGATATATAAGGTAATCAATATTTCAAAGTACACACTAAGATATAGGAACAAACTTTTTTTTTTATAGTTTTTGTACTCTTATGAACGTTTTATACACAAACACGCTATAGAGATTTGTCGTCAGTTAGTATTAAGATTATGGTTATGCATGAATAAAGATAACCATAACTGAGCTATTATTTAAACACAAATTTATCATATGAATTTGTATTTTATATGTTTTCTATGTTAATAAGAAGGGATTTGGTTTTTTTTGGGGTTTTGCACTTGTGTAGACCCCATATTTTCTTTTAATCTATAATTATTAACGGTTTTATATTTGACAGAATTACTTTTAACAGTATTAAAGAAACAAGTTTTCCGAATTACCATATAGTGTGTACTTTTGTGTCACAATATTGCCTGGTGAATAGTTAAATGCTCTAGTGTGTATCAAAATTAAAAAAAAGAGAAGTCACTGAGAAATAAGTTGCCTGTTTACTTCCTCTTAAACTTATCACGTAAACGTATGTGCGAAACATTGCGTGGTTAATATACCAAACTAACAAGCATTTCGTAACGTTATCGTCGACGATACCAATCAGTGCCTATACATGACAACTTAATGTAAATAGTTTTATTTTGCCTATTGCTTGTTGCCTAGCATTTGGTTTTTTGGACAATAGCTTTCTTCATACTGTTATGACTTGGATTTATTTTATCCAAAAATTCATCATAGATACCAGGCTTAACATTTTGTTCGCCACACGGCCGTTTCGTCTAATAAAGATCCACCAGTGACGCTCGAAGCAAAGAAATTAAAAGGCCAAATAATGTTCAAAATTAAGGAGCAAACTTTTTGAAAGATTTTGCCAAATACAGCATATGTAATTTATTGCAGTGACCGAAAATCCATAGTATTCCGGAAAAAAACTTCAATTGCAAATCTATCACTTTTCTATAAATCTCATCCAATTTTGATTTATATAGCTTGGACATGTATTTATCACATGTACAAAGAATATTAAATAGTAATTACAATGTATTACCTTATTTTGCATACGACTAAAACTAGCATCAACGCAATTGCAACAACCAAACTTAATCTTCCACCTACTAATGCACCTGTAATATAGGTTTAACATTCAGATGACGAGAAAACTTTAAAACAAATAATGATGTTGAAAGAAAAAAAATAAAAGAATCATTTCGTTTATTGTTTGAACATACATCAGACCGTACATGTATTTGGTTTTTTCTTTTTTTTTTTCTTTTTTTGTATTTCTGGTTTTTTTTTTTGGGGTTTTTTTTGTGTGTGTGTTTTTTAGGTTCTTTTTTTGTTGGAATTGTTTTATTTTTTGTCATTTCGGGGTTGTTTATAGTTTTTATGTAGTACAGCTTGATTTTATCATTTATGTTAATAAATAGTATTTGTATATATTTGTTCATGCATTGACTTGTTGACTGACTCTGACAGAGTATACAGTATTACAGTACTTTGATTTTCTATTCACTGGGGTATTTACATCCTTGGTTTTCTTTTTCTTTATTCTGATTGGTTACTCTGTGAACTCCTTTGATATTGAGGCACTCTTTTCAAATTCTACACAGAGATATAGAACACTGACACTTCATTGTGATTTATAGATATTTATTCTTCTTATTCTGGAAACCATTCTGTATATTCAGGTCAGTTATATTCTTTACATTAGCATTTTGATAGCATGTATTTCTATATTTT